CTCCTTCTCACTAGATCATTTCTTTGGGTTTTATAAATGCATATTCTCGCCCTTCTTATAGAACAGAATCATCTGCAGGCCTTCCAGCCTCATGGTGTATCCACTCAGCATGCTGACTTCCCTGAGCTTTTATTTCACGTCTACTGTCTGGGTTGGGGTAGTGCTGGCATTTCAATCACATCAAGCTTGGGCCATCACTTTTCCCTGCTTGTGGAGCCATTTGAGCAGCTGGTGGTCACATCACCTCCTGGGGTCCTTGCTAGGGTGTCAATCCCATTCTGGAGAGTGGATCCTAAATCAGCACACTCTTCCTTGTCCTGACCTGGATGCTCCCAGCCCCTTGATCCGGCATCTCAGATCCAGTCCCAGAACCTCTGACTTTGCTGGTAGGCTGGCTAGGACTAGCAGCTCATTTGAGGTCTTTTCTTCCATTATCAGACCCAGCACATACCCAGTTGGGTTATGCTATGACATAATTCTCAGTTATAAGCCTAGTTACAAGGAGCAGAGAGATGGTGAGAGGCTCGTATTATTCGAGTGGTGGGGGAGGGAGATATGGGAAGGAGAGAGAAGTTAGCTCTAATAGGGATAGTAGGCAAATCCTGCAGGATCAGAAGATTTAAAAGAATGTGGGAGTACAACATTTGGGGTTCATCTACTCGAATGTTCCCAATTTTAGTTCCCAGAGTCCAAATGCTCCTCCAAATGTCTCCATTGCCTTGAAATTTGCCTGTAAGGTTCATGAAATAGAAAAAGGGTATAACCTCTTTGTAGAGATTGTTGTGTGCCTGGTCTAACTGCTTCAACCACAGAAGCCAGTAACAAGGGGGTGCCCCAAGGATCATTTTCCTTACCAAATACTGAAAATCGGGTCTCCAGATTTGCTGCAATGGATATATTCATAATAGATAAGAATTATCTGATTTAAGTTTGCTGGTTATAAATAAATGCTGTTTAAGCAATTACATTGACAAAATTGCTTAATTTAAGAAGGCAAAATATCTTACTTCAGAGATCACTACCTTGATCTTATTCACTTTTAAAATGGATCCTACACAAGAATGCCCCTAGGAATGATGAAGTTCCACTTGACACGTAGGATCCCAGTGTCTTGAGTCATTCTCTCCATCTGTTCAATCTATGAAGCTGAGCTTCATTTTGAAAGACAGAAGGAGAAAGGATCTTGCAGTTCTACCTACTTTGCATGGAGTTTCCTGTCTAAAGGAAGCCTTCCTTTCTCTTTAATAAATTTTATCAGGCACCCACAGATCACAGTGCTAGGAATATTAGGAGCATAGTAAGATATATATACACGGTTACTGTCCTCAAAATTTAGTACCCCAATTGGGAAGGAATAGGAAAACTCAAATATCAAAGCAGGTCCACGATTCAAAAAAAATAAAACCTCCAAAGAGTGAGAGAAATTAATGGCCCAAAGACATTAGGAAAGCATTCTCATGTAATCCTACATTGTCATAGAATCATACAGTAGAGACCTGAAGTACCGAATTCTCAAGTCTCTACCAATAAACAGTATTTTCAGAGACTCTTTTAAAAGTAGGCATTCATCTTATTTGGTTATCCCAGGCAGGGAATCAAGTCAAGTCCATTTTCAAATATTTAATTTTAGGGAAATTCTAATTGAGAAACATCTAATTTCTTTTAATTCCTACCTATTGGCACTACTTACATCTTCTGAAAGGAGAAATATAGGACAATGAATCTACTCCCGCTTCAGTAGCTTTAAATAGTTCTCCAGAGTCTCATTGTTCACCTTGTTAAATCAAGTTTAGCCTAAAGCTGCCTCTCTACATATTTTAAATTTGGCTGAAGAGTTTTCTATACATTGTGAATCCTAACAAGTGGAAGGTAAGCAGATCAGCCTACACTGTGCTAACTACTGACTTTTGACCAATTAAATGTGGTCAACTGTTTGAACCGTGTTCAAATAAGGCAAACTGATGCTGTAACCAATCCAGTTGTTTCTGTAACTCACTGCTTCTTGTGTGTCATTTTCCTTTTCTGTCCATAAATCTCACCGGTTGTGTTGGAATCTCTGAGCCTATTCCGGCTCAGGAGGCTGCCTTATCTACAAATCATTCATTGCTCAATGAAACTGTCAGACGACCAGCTGGTTATTTTATCAACTCAAACATTTCTCATTCCTTTGAACGAAAAATCATAGAATATTATTGATGCAATGGCCATCCTTTATTACAATGTCTATTTTCAAGCAGTGCCTATGCCTGCCACTATCGTATTTAAGCATTGCAATGACTTGTTAAGTCAGATGGTATTACTACCCCTAATATATGGATAAGAGTTCTGGAGCCTCAGGAAGTTCAGCCTCCTCTCACTATTTGAGTTGTTCCTTCTAGATGAATTTGTTTGTCAATGTGTGTCTTGGTGCTTCTGGGAATTGAGCCTGTAGGTAATGGTTTTGAGCAGGGTAGTATGTAGACAAAATGTACTAGAAGGAAAAACATTCGAAAAATGAAACTTTAAGAACCAGATAACAGCCAAAGGTGATAAGGTTGGGATGGCAGATATGAGCACAAGGTCAGTTGATTACTCTGGTGTTAAGAGTGAGGTGTATGTAGGGAATGGGAAAAGATAGGGGATTAATTTAATGAGCCTTCAAGTATTATCAAGATACTATGCAATCTGCGGCACTTTGTTGGGTTCTGAAAGGATATGAACAAAATGACACATCCCTTTGGGATTGATATCTGCTGGGGAGAGGAACATTAACCCACTAGCATAGCAAGAAGGCGATACAATATAAGTGATTTAGAAGTATTGTAGTATTAGGAAGGAAAAGAATAGGGCTCTCAAGGAAGCAATCGGGATCATTCTGGAATAGGAGAATGCGCTATGTGACCTTAAGGTTGGTTGGCCATTCTGATGGTGAGAAGCCCATCTCCCAGTTCTAAGTGATATTGGCCCAAGTTTGGCCAACTGCCCAGCACCCACCTGACTGGACTCAGAGAGAATCTGCTTAGACGGTGTGCCTGATCGAAGCACTTCTAGTGTTAAGGAAAGGAAGGTAACAGCCTGAAAGAGGGAATTGGGGAAAGACAAAAGAAATAAACTGAGACTTGTTTTTGGAAACAGGTGGGCTGGGAGGAGAAGCCCCCAGAGGCTTGAAGCACAGCGTTGAAGATGGTTTACAGAGTGTGTCCCTACACCCCAGCTGAGAAAGCAAAGTGACTTAACCGGGAGCAATTGCAATCTTGATCTACGTGGGTTTTACTCATTTACTCTTATGGGAAGTTACTAGTAGAACTCTATACTACAGGTCTGGAAACCGTGACATAGAGGCTAAATAATTTCTCTAAGGTCACATAGCTTTAAGGGGGTAAAGAACAGAGTGAAGAGCTAGTGTCACTATGAAAAATGGCCCTGGCAGATCTCTCTATCCCAGTGCAGGTTTGAGATGATTTAGATGTGCTTGGCTGAGCTTTTCTTTGCAACAGCTTGCCTGGGGGCTGATAAAGAAATTCAAACAGATGTATGCTGTGCCACTGTTGCTGGGTTGATGCCAGAAAATCTGAATGCCTTCAACAGTTTAGCACCACAGACTTTATTTCACTAAATGAAGTCCCGTGGGTATATAAGGGCTCTAACCATCTCTCAGGGACCAAGCTCCCCTCTCTCTTGTGGCACTGCCTCTCAAATTGGCCTAAACGTACTGAGTCAGGGAAGGAAGAAAGGAGGAGGTACACTAGCTTCATTCCAAAATTGTTATACCCAACTTCCACTGTTAATTAGCCTGAATTAGTCACATGGACCCAACCTAGCTGCAAAGGACAGTGGGGAAATGAAGAGACATGGATTATTAGGAGAGCACTATGGATTCCCAAAATGGGACTGACGCCAGAGCCCAGCACCAGCAGAGGCAAGAAAAGTGGATGAGCATAAGAAGTGGTCTATTTCTCCCCCCGCTCTGCAAAGCAAGATAATCGACATTGGATCAGGGAGAACACAGCCTGTCCTTGCCTTGGGTCAGCCTGTTTTGCTTTTCCACTCTGCTCCTGTCCCAGGTATAAGTGCTTGGGAAAGGGTCACTCCACAGAGCAGTGAGAAGTTGCACGGGGTTTGCAGGCAAGAAAATAATCTCATCTCTTGGATGTGTGGGGGGAGACAGACTTAGTGAGAGAGAGAGCAGAGACTTGAGCCCCTGGAAGTTCAGCGTGAAAACCTAATCCTGAGGGAATTTGCTGTCTTTCCTCCTGTGGGGGTGTGGCCTCTGTGGTCCCCACTTCCCTGGGTGTTTATGCCCTGTGTAGTTCCTTTCTTGGGTGTTGGTGAGACCTTGTGACTTACATTTAACCAGCAGAATGCTATAAAGGTGATGAAAGTCACTTCTGTGGTTAAATACAGAATGAGAAGACTAATGCCCATCTCTTACAGGAAGACTCTGTCCCTTGCTGGCTTTGTTGGAGTTGGCTGTCATGTTGTAGCTGCTCAGGAGAGAATACAGAAGGAATGAGGGTGGCCTTGGCACATAGACAGTAAGAAACTGAGGCTTTCAGTCTGGTCACCCACCAGGACCTGAATCCTACTGACCATCACGTGAACTTGGAAGTGGATTTTCCAAGTTGAGCTCTTAGATGAAACCCAGACCTGGCTGACACCTTGACTGAAGGCTTTGCAGAGACCAAAGCTGCCAGAACTGTGGACCAAAAAGACAGGAGAAATGTGTGGTTGTCCTAGGCTGCTGACTCTATGGTAGCTCCTATGCAGCAATGGATAAGTAATGCATGGGGGTCAGAAAGGAGATGGGACTGTATTTGGTTTCCTAGGCTGTCATAACTAACACCATAACTGGGTGACGAAACAGCATAAATCTAGCTCATAGCTCTCAAAAGAAAGAAAGAAAGAAAGAAAGAAAGAAAGAAAGAAAGAAAGAAAGAAAGAAAGAAAGAAAGAAAGGAAGGAAGGAAGGAAGGAAGGAAGGAAGGAAGGAAGGAAGGAAGGAAGGAAGGAAGGAAGGCGAAACCTAGGACAAGAGTGGTTAAATGGCTTAGGCTAGAATTTAGCTCTTCTACACTGAAAAGTCCTGGCAGGACTCTACCCCTACCCAGCCCTGAGGGTGTCAGGTGGGAACCAGAACTCTTCTGTCTAGCCTTGGGGCTACTGAACTCACAGATCCTCCTTCTCCGGAGCTTCCTTTGCAATAGAACCAGAGCCATAAGCATAAACAGGGCCAGCATGGTAGAGACAGGAGCCAGGGTCCGAGAGCTGCTTTCATCTTCTGGAAAAGCACTAGAGTGGGGATGGAAAGAGCACAGGAGAGAGGAGGTTGGAGCCGGGCAGAAGATTAAAGACCATTTGCCCATGTCCTTATTTTACAGGTGGGGGAGCTGAGGCCAAAGCAAGTGGGCAACACTGTTTCCCATGGCTGGTTAGTGGCAGAGCTGGGACTAGAATCTCTGTCTTCAGGCTTCCAAGCCCAAATCCTTTTCCCTCTTCCACCCATCTGTGTGTGGGCCCTGTGATGCCTCCCAATGAGAAAGAGGACTAGGTGGGAGCCAGCAACTCCACCCTCAGCAATGGGCTCTGCCACAACCTTTCCTTGTGGCTTCAGTGCATCACCCCCTCTCTCTGGAGCTTCTATTCTTCATCTTTAAAAACAGAAAGTCCTAATGAAGATTCCAGCCTAAATATTGTCTTTCTGTCATTTAGATATCACTTGAAAACCACAGGGAGTGTTCTCACAGCAAGGCCCCTTGAGTGAGGGAGGGCATCTGATGTGTATGTCACTGTCTTGTGGGTATAAAGGGAGAGAAGTGAGCAGAGGGAGAGGAGCCTCCCTTGCATGCCAGGGATGAGACAGATGTGGGGCCCCTGACTGGGAGAAGGTGCCTGGGGGTTACCTCTTCACAGAGGACTCCTTGCCAGGGGGCCTCCAGGGTCCTACTGCCGGGGCCTGGCTCAGCGTTGCTTGGGGACCTCTGTCTCCAGTGGCAGCATCTAGGTCCCCTGCAGCACTTCCTTCCCCAGATGCTGCCTCTATGCTGGTCCACACACCTGCAGCTGGAGTTCCCAAGGTCCACAAGACTACAGCTGGAGTTGTTTCTCCAACGTAGCCCAGAGATTGTTGCTTAGAAACTGGCGTTGCTTGTGGGAGGATTTCCCAGGCCAGAGTTTCTGAGACCAGAGCTGGTGGTCTAATGGTTCCTAGGATATTTTTGGCTGCATCAAGAGTGATCCTGACCCGCTCTGTGTCCTCCCTTGGCCTATCAGCCTTGGTAGTTGTCATCTCCCTCCTGTCCTTGCTGGCTCTCGCCCCGTTTGTCACTGAGCTTCTGGTGCCCCCCCAAACACCTTCTGTTGTATTGGACATGCTTCTGCTTTTTGCAGCTGGACTCTCTGGAATGGGAGCTGGTACTTTGACGGAACCCTCCGCCCAGCTGCCTGTCCCTGGAGCTGCTAGCCTGGTTGCTCCTGGGGTTTGTCTTCCCTCAGCTGAAGCTGTGGTCATGCTGGTTCCTGGAGTTGAAGCAACTGTGTCCCATGCTGTCCCCTGTCCTGAGGTCTGGGTGGTTCCTGGGGTCCATCTGTTGGCTACTGGAAATGCTGTTCCATAGGATCTCATGGTGAGCTCCCCAACAGCTGGAGTGGCTGTGGGGAGGGTGCTGGAGGGACCTGTGTGGACAGCAGAGGGAAGCCACATGGGAAGGCTGGCAGGTGGCCTACTGGTTTTGGCAAAGGACACCAGGTTTCACATGTCTGCTAAGTGGAATGCAACCTCACTAAGAGATGCAGTTTTTGACCAATAGGATGGATAAAATAAAAAATAGGAAAATTTTTCATTATCCATTATCTGTGGCAGGCATTCTCTAGTCTTTGGCAGACACTGACATGTTATATTCCTATTTCCTTTTCCCATGCTCACATGTTTTCTATCCAGCTGTCTTGAACCCCCAAGCTGCTTTCTCCAGAGGCCCACCTTCCAGCAGGTACTGGTCTTCAAAAAAGACAAAAGAAACACTGCAGTTCTAGCAGAGCAGCCAGTTGCAGCAGGCAGCTGGAGAGCAGCATCTACTAGAATTAACCTGCTCTCAGGCTGCCTCCTGTCATGCTGTCTCTTCTGCCAAGTGGCCTTTCACAGCCTGGATGCCCTTCCTATGCTCTGGGTGCCTGACTTGGGATCAACAACCAGAACCTGCCACAGAGAGCCTAGGCTTGGGATCTGTCAGATGCCTGCTGAGGGGCTCAGCAAGAGTCTGCATGAGGGACAGCTCAATTGCAATTCTTTTGTCCTGCCTGTCACACCTCCTCTGCAGTCCTGCCGCTTCTCTGCATGTCTGAACATGTAGCTATCAGGATCGTAAGAAGCCACATTTATCCCATTCTTGGAGCCATCTCCAAATACATATTTCATGACATATGGGGGACTCGGGTGGGAGAGTGTACATGCATTCACTGGGGGAAGTTTTTCCTAAAATCTCCCTTTCTTTTGAAGGTAGCCTTCTTCTGAAATGAAAGCCTACTTCTTAAAGTCTTTGCCTTGCCCCAGCTTTTCATTGTCACTTCCCTAATGTTTCAAGCCCTTTTAGGTCTCTGAGCCTTCTCTCGCACTTCCTCCTTCCTAGAACGAGCTTCACCAAGCTTGACCCATCAGCCATCAGCTCATACCTGCAGAGATGGTCAGATTCATGCTTAAGAACAGCATGGCATTATCACTTCCAATGCCGCAGAGGTAGCATCCAATGTCATCCGGGGACAGTTGGGACAGCCTTACCACAAACAGGCCTCTCTGTGGAAAGTCTGTGAGGGCCACACGGTCACGATAGCGATGGTGAGTGTAGTGGCTGGTGGACACAATGGTCTGGCAGATCCATCTTGGGGGCCCCAGACGGCACCAGTACTTCCTTTGGTGCCTGTTGACAGATGAGGGGACATAATGGCAGCGGATGGTGACAGTTCCTCCAGGCTGCCCAGACACCAGCCTTGAGCCCTTCAATGCATTTGGAGCTGTAGAAAGAGAAGGAAGTCAAAGGAGAGGGAGTGGTGAGCATAGTCACTGTTTGGGGAGTCACGATCTCTGAACTCTGCCAGAATTAGAGGTCAGGTCAGAAAATGCCACTGTGAACATGGAGCAGAATCAATATAGAAATGGCAGAACTCAGCCATTGGGAAAGCCGATGTTGCCCCGAGGTATGGAAGATGAAAATGTCATCATAATCTTACCCACTATTTAGCTAACACTTATCCTGTGCTATCCTGGTCCATCCAGAGCATGGTTCCCCTGTGCTCCAATGCAGATGTTTAAAATGATGCTATCTAAGCACATGTATGAGGGCTGAGGCAACATCTGACACTCACTCACTCAGTCACTCCTCACTGTAGATTTAGACAACACCGTCCAAACGATGCCACCGACGATAACATTAAATGATAATTTATCATTAAAATACAAAAATATTCACAATTATAAACAAGGACCTTTTCAGGACACCAGTGATGATTCCCTGATAGAAGGACTCTGGTTTGCATGGAATGTAAAAGAGAGATGCTAAACAGTAAGAATATATCAGTGTATCTTTCATGTGCAAAAGACGAGGAGCCCTGAAACACGAGAATCCCGTTCTGCTTGCTGGGTACCTGTCTGGACCAGTGGTTGCAAAATTCTTCACACTAGTCACTTTTCCATAGAAACAGAAACAACCAAATGCCACCATATAAGCACAAATGAGCAGTACTGTGAATATGTCTGCTTGGCAACAGGCATAAGGACAATTCATAGTTGAACCACATATATGGCCAGCTTCCTGGATGACTTAAATGTGATGGGGTGCAAGCAGAAACAAAGTTTATTCTTTCTCTCACTGCCTCTTCATACCTTCTCCATGGACATCTCTGACCCTTGATGAAATCTCAGGCACAATCTCATGTATAGTAGCTTTCATAATCTCTCCTGGATAATAAAAAGCCCTGCTTAGTCTAAACTTATACATCCAGTCCAGTCCAGTGAAAGATTACAACTCCAATCTCTTGCCCAGTCAAAACCTTTTCCTTTCTCCTAGCTGGGCTTGGAGTCTGTTATGGAGGAGGGGGGCATGGTTGGGGTCTCTCACTTTGCTCTACCCCTTCCCCTATTCAAAGCTTCTGTTTGGGGGTCCCTGCAGGGTTGGGTAGAGTGGGGAGAGGAGAGGTGAATGAGACAGTTGTGATCTGCCCTTGGTGCTTTCTGGGCATGGCAGATGACCAAGGCTGCCTCTTTTTTGCCTACCAGATATATTTTTAACATACATGGCTGTCGTTCTCTCCTTATGAGAACTGCATGTTCTTCTGCTGGCCTTTGGTGGCCACCACCCACAAGCCTATGACTTCTGGCTATCTGCCCTGCTCTGTGGTCATAGTCCCCTCTGGGTGGCCCTCTAGGTGGAGGCCCTGCATTTAACACAGGAAGCACACCTGTGTCCTGCGGTCAGAAGAAATCTGGGACAAAGGGCAAGCTTGTTGAGTGACTTTCTGGAGGTTCCTTCTCTTACTTGGCTTAAAGTGAGGAAAAAGTGGTATCTCCTGTCCCCTGGGACAAGTGGAGGGGACCACAACACAGGGACATCTCTCTGACACAGTGAGCTCTGCAGCTGCTGATGATTCTCTCCCTCCCTCATTTGGCCTGGACTGATTCCCGCGGGGCTATCGCTGGGACTAGCTCTATGGTGTCTTTCTACAGCCCTGTATATGTGGTTCAGCTTCTTGCGGTAGGGTGTGGATGCCTGGCACCTATCAGTTTGTTCTGTCTTTAGGACCTCTAAACCCCAGAAAGTGCAGTTTAATATCCTTGATTTGGTTTGGATGTTTATCCCCTCCAAATCTCATGCTGAAATGTGTTTCCCAATGTTGAGGGTGGGGCCTGGTGGGAGGTGATTGGGTCGTGGGGGCATCCATCATGAATGGTTTAGCACCATCCCCTTGGTGCTAAATGAGTTATTTCTCAGTTCACATGAGATCTGGGGCCTCCCCTCACCTTTTCTCTTGCTCCCTCTCTTGCCATGTGCTATGCTGCTCCTGTTTTGCCTCCCCCATGAGCAAACGCTCCCTAAAGCCTCACCAGAAGCCAAGCAGATACCGGCACCATGCTTCCTGTACAGCCTGCAGAACCATGAGCAAGATTATTCTTATTTTCTGTATAAATTACCCAGTGTCAGGTATTTCTTTATAGCACTGTAAAAATGGCCTAATATAATCCTATTACCAGGAACAGTTAAGCAGTTTGTGGGTGCCAGAGCAAAATGAAAATGCAGGACTTCTTGTTCAAAAGTTACTAGGAATTTCAACATGGCAACAGCAGAGCATTAAGCCGAGTACCTTCTGAGTATGGGGTCCTGTGTGAGTGCATAAGCCTGGGAAACCTACCATGCCTATTATGTGTGTACTCAGGTCTAATTACTGGAAGAGTAGAGGTCATAAATGCTATGGCTGTACTGATACTCACTGTAAGTTTAATTAAACAACACAACCCAAACCATGCCACTAATGGGAAAGTTAAATTACCATTTAAATTTACCGAGTTGTGAATATTTGCAATATTCACAATGACAAACAAGGACCATTTCAGGACAACAGTGATGATGCCCTGATAAAGTGTGCATACCTCAGATTTCAGGGATTCTCCTGATCTGCATGTGGTACATTTGAGAGGAGCATGGTTCCATTAATCAGCAGGATGGGGTGGTCTGACTTTACAGTAGAAAGCTGATTAAGAACCCTTCATCAACCCTTGCAATACACATAATTTTTTAATAATACCAAAGTTAAGAACCAATACCTTAAGGATTCATTTGATAGATCACTGATCAGTAGCTCTTTGTTATATATAATAATTAAGGTTTGGGAAATTTTATATTAACTACTGTAAGAACTCAAGACCAGGCCAGCATTTTAGGGTCAATGTGTACCCACCTGGGGGCCCTGATGCCAATTCTCTGCTCATCCATGGAGGTGGGTGCCCTGGCTCTCATCCCATCATTGTTACTCAGCAATTGTCTATTGCTATGGCTTCCATTAGGAGAGGCGAGGGCTGCCTATAGCTGTAGGGAGCCTGACTTGGTCTGAGAGAGCCTGAGAGGTCTGAGGTCCATGGTTGAACAAAGGGAGGGTAGAGGTTGTACCTGCAAAGGAGCTCTCCTCCCTCCAGCAGAGGGGCGACGAAGGCCTGAGTGTTCCCATGGTCCGGAGATGAGTCCTGGAGGGGAGAGAGCCCTCCCACAGCCATCTCGGATGGGGTCTTTTTTGTGGAAGGGCGAAAGAAGAACCTGCAGCAAAGGAAGGAGATGGGTCATCAGGGAGCCATCCATGTGTCCAGAAAGGCACCCACAGAGGAAGAAGCAAACAGCCAGCTCCAAACCCCTGCCAGGCCAGATAGCTCCAGGCCATCCATGAAGTAAGAGCTGCCTGCCCTCCTGCAGCTTCTCCCTCCCACTGCTACCACCTTGCTAGGGTCTCAGGCAGCAGCTGCCTAGAAGGGGAGGAGAGGGGGGTGGGGAAGTGGGAAGGCAGCAACCACACCCCGTTCCTGGACTGCAGGCCTTGTGGGGATGAGGGAGTATACCTTTAAATGAAGATTAAAGTGCTGACCAAAGCATTTAACTGGAAACTTTAAATGATCAAATTTAGAACGTTTGAGACTTAAAGCAATTAATTTAGGACTGTTACTTAGCAGAAAAATCATGGGCCTGCCTGAGTTGTCATTTGGGGGCAGGGGAAGCCTGCTGTTACTGAAAAATTTTTAAAGGGACAGCAGGAGGTTAAAATGGCGTGATTTTATCACACAGAGTGCTTACTCAAATATTGGCTGCTTTTTTTTTGTTTTTGTTTTTGTTTTGAGATGGAGTCTCGCTCTGTTGCCCAGGCTGGAGTACTGTGGCGCAATCTCAGCTCACTGCAACCTCTGCCTCCCGGATTCAAGCGATTCTTCTGCCTCAGCCTCCCAAGTAGCTGGGACTACAGGTGCGTGCCACCACGCCCAGCTAATTTTTGTATTTTTAGTAGAGACAGGATTTCACCATGTTGGTCAGGCTGGTCTTGAACCCCTGACCTTGTGATCTGCCTGCCTTGGCCTGCCAAAGTGCTGGGAGTATAGGTGTGAGCCACTGCGCCCAGACTTACTGGCTACCTTTGAGTCATTAAAACTCTGATTTGCTTTTAAGCCAGTTGTTAATCCTTTTTTTTTTTTTTGTATTATCATAGAATTTTCACTCATTCATTAATTTATTCAGTCATTACTTATTAAGCATCTATTTGCCATTTGTCATCTAAGCATGGTTTATACCTGGACAGTTTTACCATACCAGCCTGTGAGGAACTTTAGGGCAGCCTGGAAGACTCAGGTCTGGTTTGGTAAGCCCTGAACCTGATCTGGGTTTGGGACTCACCTTGTAGCAGGCACAGTATGAGGAAGAAAGGCATTTTCCATCCTGCCCTCCTGTTGGCAACCTGCAAAAAACACACTAAATGAAAAGAGGCCTGAGAGAAGCTGGGTGAGGACAGTGGGGACTTGAGAGAACAAGCATCTTCTCGCTTTGGGATCTCGGTTTGCTCGGCGCAGAGGCTGGGTTGCAGATATCTGAGAGTAAGACAAGCACTTCCCTCCCTGAGAAAGCATGACTTTATCCTTAGCCTCCTAAGTATGCACATTTTGGTCACGTCCACGAGGCTAAAATGTCCCTTACCCTTAAGGGTTCTGTGTTCAGAAGAGGTGAAACTCCCTCTGTAGGATTCTAGCCCGGGCACCCACTTGCCAGCCTGGAGCTCTGAGTTTGTGGGAGCACCGTGTAATGGAAAGGCCACATTTGAAGTCTAAACTCTAGTTGGAATTGTGGGACCTTGGAAAGTTAGTCTCAGGGATTCGATTCCTTTTCAGGGGAATGAAGGAATCTGCATGGGGTTGTTGTTTCACAGCTTAAGTGAGATTGTGGTAAAGTGCCAGCAATGAGCCTGGGGTAGTCCGCTTCTGTTCCTCTCCTCACCACTTCCTGTTCACAGAAGGGGAATTGGTTTTTTCAAGGGAAGATTTCTGTTTCACTGTTAGTGTGCCTCTGGTCAGTAATAAGGAGTTAAAAATTAAATCTCAGACCAAGCAGCTCTCTGCACTGGGGTGCTATTCTGTTTCTTCTCCACAACTTCTAGAAAGCCCTCTCTGTCCCCCAATCCACACTGACCTTCACCCCTCTCTGGTCTCTCCCACTGGCCTGGGGAGCTTCCAGAGGGGACGGCTTTGTGTTTCATCCCTCTCCCATCATGCTCTGAAAGGGGATCTAGCACATTGTAGATGTGAAACGCACAGCTATTGTGAACAGTAACCCTCCTCTTTTAATGGACACCATACTGATCACTACTCAAAGGTCTTTTACCACTTGCTGATGAAAAAGACAGATTGTGGCTGGGTGCGGTGGCTCATGCCTGAAATCCCAGCACTTTGGGAGGCTGAGGTGGGTGGCTTACGAGGTTAGGAGTTCAAGACCAGCCTGACCAACATGGTAAAACCTCATCTTTACTAAAAATACAAAAGTTAGCCCGATATGGTGGCATGCACCTATAATCCCAGCTACTCAGGAGACTAAGGCAGCAGAATTGCTTGAACCCAGAAGGTGGAGGTTGCAGTGAGCCCATGCCACTGCACTCCCACTTGGGTGACAGAGCAAGACTCTGTCGCAAAAAAAAAAAAAAAAGACAGAGATTGTACGTTATACTTCTTTTGTATTCCCTAAAGGGTATTCATGGATGCTTTTTGATTGATTAAAAATCTACTCTTTGAATCTATCTACTGCTTCTGTTTCTGGGACCTATAGATTTTTTAAAAAGCAAACTAAAGTTAGCCAGTGAGTTTTCTTCCTACTCTGTTATGTTCCTCATTACTGTTGAGGACAGGCGCTAACAGTCAATGGTTTGGCCCATGGGCAGAAACCCCCTCACTCCCCAAACAGTTGAAGCCATGCAAAGCCACTGGCCAGTTTGGGACACAGGCTGTGCGGGAGGGAATCACAAAGAGGAAAACAGGGAATAGGGGAAAAAAGGAGGCAAAGGAAGTAGGAGAAGGGGGAGAGAAAAGGAAAGGTAGGAGGTGAAAGAAGGGAAAAGGGAAGAGAGGGGACAGAAGAGAAAAGTAGAGAGTCCATGGGGTGGCCCTGAGCTTGTTTTCCTGCAATGAGACTTGGCAAGTTGTCACCTCAGCTTGGCTCTGCCCAGCCCTCTCCACTGAGGCCTTTCCCTGCTCTATCCAGTTTGAGCCCCAAGGGTGGCCAGATCTTTAAAAGTCGATAGGCTCTTTATGCATGTTTCTGTGCCTTCCCTCTAGCAAGTCCCCTAGCTTGGGCACTGCGATGGCAGTCTCAGACCCTTCCCTGCCTTACAGAGCTTCCTGTCCCCACCCGGAGACTCTCCCAGGGTGTTCTTGCACCTAATTCATAATTTGATTTATATTCGCCAAGTCCTGGCTGATTCTGGGGCTGGCACCTAGACACCCGCTGGGCAAATTTTTCTAAAGCACTGAGTGCTGATGCAGCATGTGTTGGGGCCAAAGTCTCTGCATCACACCATCCAGTTCTTCTGAAGCCACCGATGCAGCAATCTCTGGGCTTCAGGAAGAAAAGCCGGTTCCATGGGGCAATGAGGAAGCAGGAGTATAAGATAAAATGTTTCCAGGGAATTATCAGCTTTGATTGGAGGATGGAAGGATAATATTCAACGGAATGTCTCCAAGTCACCCTCTCTGCCAATGACCTTCAGAAATCCTTTCTCCAGGAGACAGGGGGCCATAATTCAGTAGCCTGGGGCCACAGGCTTCTGTTACTGCACATTGCATTTTAGGGGATGACACCACATGAGGGTACTCTCTTGTCCCTCTCGTCCTGCTGGGAAGGGCATGCACCTCACCTCAGCTTCAGCACAGGCTGCTTTGTGACTTCCCAGATGCCTACTCGCCCTCTGAGTCCCAGTTCATTCCTATCCCCTCCCCACATCCCCTGGGCGGTAGATAAGAAGGGAAGGAGTCAGTGTGGTATAGAGGAGAGAGCACAGAACCAGGACTCAGGAGGGGCTGCAGCAGCCTGAGGCTGCTGCAATAACTTGGCCAATGTTCTGTTCCTCTCCTCTATGAAAGAAGAGCTTTGCCCACATGTTCTCCATGTTTCTTCTCTTTGTAACGTTTTTTTGGTTCTAAATTATCCAGGACTTCTAAGGAACCATGCACTCTGGTGGGTGTGAGCAGAATAATAGGGAACTGAGAGGGAGCCCTTATGTTCTGGACCCTAGAACCCTTAACTGGCCTCCTGGGAAGAAGCCCACCTGCTCTGGGAAGGGCACTGAGGAGCATGTGTGACAGCTATGACTGCAGTTCACCCCCCACATTCAGAGGCAAGATCCCAACCTCCAGGAGAAAGCCTTATTTCACCTTTTGTTCTCTGAGCTTCAGTGTGGCCTCTCCATCCATCTCAGTCCAGAAACAAGATCCAGGTGGACTTTTCTTCTCATGAGATGCAGGTGTTTGGACGTCTTCTAGTTGCTCTTCCTTAAACCTGGAGACTGAGAAGTCAAGGTGGTATGTTGGAAAGCAGCTGGAGCTAGCAACAGAAGGTTGGGGTGTAAGGCATAGCTCTGTCACTCACCTCAAGTCACTTCTTTTTGGATTTTATTATTTATAAGAGGAAGCCAGTCCTAACCCCTTGTCATTCTTACTGTCACTTATTCCTGAAGAACTTTTCCAAGGGTGGTAACAGTAGCTTCAAGAAAGAAAACAGTGATCCATGTCCTTCCTCCTCTTGTGTCCCCTCCAGTCCGGGGTCTCAGACTATTTAGGGTGCCCCAGCTTACCAGCCCATTCAGGCATCTCCCAGACAAGTGATGCAACAACTTGGGCAGGAGGGCAGGGAAAATTCAAAATTCAGGAGAGGAATTCCCCTGCCATTTGGCTGGCAGCTGGTGCCCTCCAGCTGATCTGGCCCCTCTAACGCTCATAGAGAAGCACTTTGGGCAGCTTGGGTCACTGACTTCAGAGCTGCATGAACTGGTGGTTACTAATTCATGTTCCTGACAAAGCATAATACAGTAAATGAGACGATCTTCATGGAAAGAAGACACTGAGAAGTGTGGCTTACCCAAATAGATGACACACTTGAAAAATACCCCAATATTTCCCTTTGGAAAATAGTTTATGGGTTTTTTTCCTTGTAAAAGATGTGATCTTCCAATCTCTGTTGGTCTGAAACTGACATTAAATTGGCTTGTACAGCTGAAGCACTCAACAATGAATGGGCACAAGGGGATGGGGGGTGCTGCAAGCTGTAATTCGGGACCTTCACTAGGACCTCTGATAGATATGATAATATGGCACCTCTGAGCCAATTAGAAAGGGCAACTTTTTCTTAGGAATAAATTCAGTTGGTATATTGTTGTGCAATTTGCCATAGCCATAGATGGCAGCATGTATTCTCTGTGCGATTCCTCTTCCAAATTTGAAGGCAGATTGGGGGTAGAAACTGAGTCACTGAAAGCAATAGCAGAGGAAGAGAAACAACTCTATGGGTGCTTGGAGTTCGGCCGTGACAGGACAATTGTGCACTTGTGTGTGCTGGTAACTGCGTGCACAGCAGTCTATGCTGCTCTCCCAGGACTTGGTCAGCAGCTTCCAGTGCTAGAGCTCCAGATCTTCATCTCCATCTATAGCCTCTCATACTAGTTAAAATACATCTACAATGTGAGTGGTCTCTCCTTAGTAATGGCGCTCTTGAGCAGCTCACGACCTGAAGAACTGTATACAGTGGACTTGCCTTCCGAGACTCGTTTCCAGAAATGAGTGACCTTCTTGTAGGTGGTAGAGAGGTAGCTAATGCCTGGCTAGGTTCTCCCCTTCCACTCCTCATGGAGCAGTATGGTGTCAATGTTTGATCACATAGACTCTGGAGTCAGACTCCCCCCTCCTCTCAGTTAAGATCTCAGTTCTACTTTTTACCGCGAAAATGACATGGGAGGAGAAAATAGCACCTATCTCATAAAGTTATTATGTGGATCAAATGTGATAATCCACATAATTCAAAGTTCTTAGTATGCAGTTAATTTTCATTAAACATTAGCTGAGAATATTATTAGCTTGGCTTGTAGCAAAGGGAGCAGGTGTCTTATCATGATAGAACTCTCAAAAGAAAAAAAATCCCTTTGATGGTTTTCATCTATTCAAGGGTCCTCTCCCTCCCTCCTTCCCTTCCTTCCTTTATTCCTTTTCCTTTCCATTATTTTCGCATTTGAAAGATTAAAAATTCATCAATTTGTCTAAGGACACTTCTGAATTAAATTTATATTCTTAAGTAAACATTTGTCAAATTTTCACCGTTTTGTAAATGTTGCTGCCATTTGCATCCTTAAGGGCATATTTTTCTGTTTTATCTACTTTTGAACACTTTGAAGACTTTTTGATTACAGAAACCAAAAATTATAGTACAGTACAATTAATTGTAATGCACTGGTCCAGTTTCCAGAGCACTTTCTCAGAGCCATGATGTCCCTTCTCTGAAGCTTTAGGGAGGAGAAAACTCCATACTGGCTGCTTCTCTTGGGGATACAATTGAATTTTCTTATCCAGCACAAAGCCCCAGGGGTTCCTTTACATAGATATATGACACTATAACCTTCTGATTTTAGGCCCTAGACTCTGGAATCAGGCTTGACCAGATGTCAGATCTGGGAAGAGCTTTGTCCATTCCCTGTCCTCCAGTTCCCACCTCCAATCCACCAGTTAGCAAATGACTTTGTTAAACATACACACATGAGAGTAAAAACCAGCAAACAGAAAACTAACCCAAGAAAGGAAAGCTACTTGTGCTGTAAAACAATCCATATGGATCTCTTCCCTCTCCAAAATGTGCTTTCTAGTGTGTAATGAAGAGCAGTGGACAGAGGTGCTTTAGGTTCCCACGTGGCTCACCCAATCCTGTCCGTTTCCTTGGTAGTCAATGCTTATCCTCCTCCTTATGTGTTATGGCAGCTTTCTGCCCGCTGTACCCACTTTGTAAGCTTTTTCTACCCTTGTAGTCTGCTGGAAAGACACATGGTCCTTCCTAGCTCAGGTAGAATACTAAGTATTGAAGAAAACATCATTTAAAAACACCTGCATTCATACAAGTCCTTGGTTACTTACTTAGAAATTCACAAAGGAAGGTGAACTATGAGACTTGTCACTCCTCCAAATGACAACGGAAGAAAGTATTTGTATAGCACAAATAATCATTTTATAATGGCATTTAGCAAGCTTTTATAACCTCAACCACCACTTACCTGATAGCAAAGCTGGCAGTTCAACAATATTCAATGCCTAAACACAGGAGGCATTCCAAAGGCAGTTAGTTGAGTGCTGAGACAGTTTAAGTTCATGTACAGGCTGTTGGCAAAAGCACAGAGTAAAGAATCCCAGGAGATTATTTCATAGATGGGAGCATTTTAGCCTAAGACTTTAGCTGTAGCTCATTCTAGAATGTTGGTTTGAATTGCTGTTGGAGAACATGATCAGCACCTCTTAGCATAATCTTTCTGGAGTGACTTGAGTCTGAGAATGGAAATGAATATGTTTCTTACTGATTAAGATTATTCAGTTAGGATGCTATTTTGAATACACATTCTCCTGTGATAATGAATCACTGGTCCTCATAGGATGGAAAGGGCCCCCAAAAATTTAACTTGCCAGTAAGGAGGCTATTGGTCTCTGTCTTCTCAAAGAATGGTGCTATTTGTTGGCGGGGGGGGGGGGGGTGGTCTTCATCTCTGTTGCTGGCAGGTTGAATGTTTGATAGCAACAGTAACTAACTCAGTGTTGACTAATAGGAGCCTATACTGTTTGCTGGGCCCATGCATAGCCTCCATTCTTCTGATAGTGCACCTTCCTTAATGTGTACACTGTGTTAGCACCAGGGTGGCCAATGGCTGAAGCTGGCTGATGTCAGAAGACCAAGCCATCCTGTCTACTTGGCAGTTAGTGGTTCTTCCATGGTGGATTCTCTCTGGTGAGCATTAGCATGTGATACAAAGATTTTCACACTTCCTGCCCACTCCCTTGTCCCTCCATGTTCCATTACCCCCACCTTTCACTCTGTATGTATTCTAACATCAGGTCATTTCTCCTTTCACACAAAATAGATGACCAGGTGCACTGTCCAACCTCTGTCCCTTGGATGGACTTTCTCCTGACTCTGTCTTTTAAGACCATTCCTTGTAGTACACCTACTATCCACTTTCGACTTGAACCAAACCAACTCATCTATAAACAAAGCTTGGGTTTTTCCCCTGTCTGCCATTAGCTATCAAGTATGCTCTTCTGTGGCCCCTTACGAGCCCTGGGTGGGGCACTTGTGTAACAGTGGTAGTTATTATGAGGGTCTGGGCTGCCTGCTTATGCAGCTTGCTGTGCTTTCAGGTCCTTGTGCTTGATCCCAGCTAAAGTGCTTATAAGTCATGATGAATTGCTGCTGGATCTACCTGACCTTATGACTTGGTGGGTGTAATAACTCTTAGCTCCTGATGGGTAGTTCCAGATATATACTCATTTGGTGTCCTGTGTTCAGTACTGTGTCTCAACTAGGACTCGGTGTCATACTAGGAGTTGTTTTTCAAAAGGCACGTGATGCTCCCCTGCAGATGCCATGGCCTTGTAAAAGAATCTTAGGGGACCACGTGACTAGGGAGTGATTCTTCCACTAGGGCTTGCCATAAGCTCTGCACAGCATCTTTTCACACCACCTAGATCTCCCACACTAGTGAGTGCAGGGCTGCTTACAGCTCAGCCTGGACCCGCTGCAGAGGCTTTTCCTGCTCTGGGCCCCACTCAAAGGTAGAAACCTTTCATGTCACTAGGTGTATGGGCCAGAGCAGCATTTCCAGCTGTGGAGTATGCTGCGTCCAGAACCAAAGAGGCCTGTCAGATGTGCTGCTTCCTTCACTGTGGTAGGAGGCGCAAGGTGTAAGACAAGGTGTACATTGTCTTTACTTCGGATGATGTTGATTCCTTTGGACTATATTATGGCAGAGGACAGGGGAGTTTAACATAGCCCAGGGGCAAAAATATAAATATGTATTGTTACTCACCTGTGTAGATGCAGTTGGTTTCTAACTCTCTTCTCTGAAGGGAATAGCAAAGAATGCATTCACCAAATCAAGGCTGCATACCACGTACATGAGGCTTTGCCAATCTGCTTGTAGCAGGTAAACAGACACAGTGGCTGAAAATGGGGTTACTCTTTTGTTAAGTGTGTGGTCATCTACTGTCATCCTGCAGGGTCCACTTGGTTTCTGCAGGGGACAACTATTGAATTAAATTGAGATATCATGGGAACTGCCATTCTTGTATCCTTTCGATTTTTATGGGTGATATTAATATCCAGAATTACCCCCAACACATGATATTGTTTTTATATCTTGGCTGGGGATGGGGCAGTTTCAGAGGCTTCA